TTAAAAATCCCACTCCCCTTCTGTTTCTGCTCGTCCATGTGCTCACATACTCACAGAGCCTCTGCCCTGGACTCCTGTACGAGGCCCACACATGAGAGCCAGGAGTGTCCAAGAACGCTTTCCCTTCCATCAGGACAGTCAGGTAGGAAAAACAGCAGCAGTACTGAAACGTGACAGCCGCTCCTTCGCACACAGTAATTTTTACTAGATGCTAGCTAGACATCATGAATTTCCCTTGTTGAGTGTTTAATTTTACTCTTATTTTTTTTTAAGATCTTATTTATTTATTTGAGGGAGAACGAGTGAGAATGAGCAAGAGAGAGCAGGAGCAGGGAGGAAAGGGAGAAACAGACTCCCTGCTGAGCAAGGAGCCCGATGTGGAGCTCAATCCCAGGACCCCAAGATCATGACCTGAGCTGAAGGCAGACGCTTCACCGACAGAGTCCCCCAGGCGCCCCTTACTCTCTTCCTTTAAAGAGTAGTGAAGTTAACTCCAGCAGGCATGGTGTTCCTTGTAGAACTGACGGATTTCTTGGGACAGCTATGTTTAAGCTTTGTTAGTCAGGGTCAGGAGTGGCCTAAGTAGGCATCCCATTCTAGGGTCTCTCCTCATTGTCACAGAGGCTCAGACACATCTCTAGTCTGACTGGATGCAGTAACATGGCCCAGGCCTAAGTAAACCCTGGTGGTTGTTCAGCATATACCTGGCCTGTAGTTGTTCTCAGCATTGCCCTGACTGTTCCCACTAGGCACATACAGGCACATCTCCTGCCTCAGGACAGGAGCCCAGGTAGGCACAGGGCTCACCACACTTTGCTTCCTTCTCTCAGAGACCAAGATCTTGTACTATCCACTGTCCCAATGACTGAAAACCATGATGTCCTATATTTTATCCAGCTTTTAATGGCTTATGGCAAGTTCCCTTGTGTTATTCATGTTCAGAAGTGGAAGGACCTAAATCAATGCATACACAATAATGGATGCTAACACCCTGCTAGTTTTAGAACAGAAGGAGGGGTTAGGCTTACATGTGCTCAAGGCTCCTTGGAGAAATGGCTGACCAGGGCTGAGACAGCAAACACATAAGCAAAACCTGGAGAATCTGGTACCACTGAGCTTCTCAGTATTTTGGCTGAAGGAATAGCTTTAGAACCCAACCACAGGAACATAAATCATTGGTTCTCAAACTTTTTCTATTAAGCAGTAGGATCCCTTCTTTAAACAAATCCTATGAGGAAGCCCAGGATCTAAGACACTAAAAAGTACCGCTGTGACCAAAGAGAAGGTGGGGAACCCCAACCTCTAAAACAGCCAGGTGCCCCCGGCCCCACCCACCAGCTCCACGTGGGCCCTGTGGGGATGGAGGAGCTGCCAGATGTGGGTCTTGTCTGCTCATGCCTCATCCTAGGAGAGGAGCTCTTCAAGGACAAAATTGAGAGAAAAGTCAAGAGCCACAGACCAGAAAATACGTAGAATCATGGCTTTCCAGCAGTGGGAGGTGCTTCATCCACAAAACCTCAATTTGAAAAAGATGGCTCAGAGCAGAGAGGGGACACAGGGTGAGGGAAAAGCCACTACCTGTGGTTCTGAGCCTCTCCCTGAGGACCCAAGCCTCCAGCCTGGCATTTTAGAACATGCCACCCACAAACACCCCTCCCAAGGCAGAACCTGGTAAGCACCATCCGGCTGCACTTCCGCGAGCCACGTGCACCATGTTCTGGTTGCCACTGGCACATCACTCAGAGATTTAGAGGAAATATCCAGAAAGCTCCAGGCAACAGCTAAGAGGAGCCCAGCTGTCCAAAAGTCAACACCAGTGAAACTACAGGGACTGCTCCTTTATGGTGTCATAAAACACCCCCAGAGTGAGTGGGTGGGTGTGAAGGTGCATCTGATGCTGGAGAGCACCTAAACACTCAACATCCGTTTCAGAAACAGAAAAGGCTGGGTAGTGGGTCTGCAGAAAGCCCATCCGTTTTCCTCTACAGTATAGCCTGGAACAGCGCAGACAGCCGCTGTTTGGCACACTTCGGCCTGGGCGCACACACCTCTGCACACACACACCTCTGCGTGCGCGCGCGCGCACACACACACGACTGCCGCTTGGGTCTCACTGACCTGTACACCCAGAGGATAGGATGACAGTGCTGATTATGCCCACTCTGCCAGCACAGGCTATGGGCTGGGGCTGCAGAAGTGCCTGGTGGCTGCCCCTCCACTCCCTGGGCCAGCTTCCAGGGCAGCACACACACACATCCAGAATGAGAGGCCTGTTTGCTCACCAGGGGCCACAGGATTCCCTAATAGCATAAACCTTCTTAGGCCAATCCGCAGCTGACCCAAAGGGTGCAGGATGCCCAGCACACATGCGTCCCCAACATAAGTATGTTCTCCTCCCTTCTCTGGGCCCTGGCCTATGTCTTTATAGAAGGTGGTGTTTGCCTGGATGTTCAGGGTGGGTGCGAGGACAAAGCCCATAAAGGGCTTTTTATGTGTCCCAAAGAAACCTCTTGACCAGCTGAGGGGAAGGGGCGCTCTGCTTCCCCGAGCTTGGGATAGATTATCAGAGGAAATGCAGGAAAGGCTGTGCATGCAGTGTTGCCTCTTAAGTGTGGGAGCACTCGTGGCGCCCATTTGCTTCCCCTTCCATAAGCACCACACAGGCCAGGCTCAGTGTCCCAACATGGAGTGACACCAAAGCTTGGCACCCACATTGCCTGAGGTCTGGACTGTGAGTCGAATCCTGCTGATAAGCCTACAGAAGCCTGGGACTCTGATCACCTCTTGTAACTGGGCCATCCTGGTGAAGGGAGGTGCGAGGCACCGTGGGAAGACAGCCCCACCCAAGGATGAGGATGGCAGAGACATGGGGTATCCATGTGTTGTAGGTGCTCCACAGGCATCACGTGGCTCCACAAGCACCACAACTCCACTCACCCTTGCCTGACCCAGAGCCATGGGGCAGCTATCTGCAGAGGGAGAAAACGGAACCTGGCAATTCAGAGACTGGGCTTGCTCCCTCCAGGCACTATGTCTCACCTTAGGGGTCCCTCTGCAGGTTTGGGGGATAATTCTTTGCCAGGGAAGAGGAGGGGACACAGGGAAGTTCAACAGCTACATGCAGGCAGCACCAGGCCTGAAGGGTAGATTTTAAAATTTACAAGTCTTCACGCTTTACATAGACATCTGCAAGATGTTCCCTGACCCATGCAAACATCAACCCATGCTTGAGTTCAGTGGATTGAAATTCCTAAAAGCAGGGTCCTGTGCCTCCTACTAGCTAGTCGTATGAGGGCAGACAGGTTACTAGCCACCCAGTGCCCCAACACCTGGCAGCCCTCATCAACCGATTCCAAGCCTTCCACATAACATCAGCATGCCAGTCACAGGGCCATCCATTCCACAGCAAACTCAGTGGGAGATGCAGAGTGGTGCACCTGGAGCCACTGGAAGCTCCTCCTTGGCAACTGGGACGAGAGGGGCTGCAGGCCACAGGCTGGGGCGAGTAGGCAGTGGCTATTTTTACATGACATGTCTTAGCTATTTCAAGGTTTGGATTTTAATTTATTTTTTTAACACAAGAGGAAGTTGTACTTTCTCATGACTCATTTCTTTCAAAATGGTGTCCTAGGGCATCATTAGTGCTGGAATTATTGGGAATCTGCAGCTGGCCACGGTGGACCTAAGATCACACTAGTCTCGTTCACATTACCATGTCATTCAGAATTTTAAGAAGCCAACAAATCAGAATTATGGCTGGATTCTAAAGCTGGAAAAAAATGTATTTTTCCATAAAAAATTTAACACAGTATTGTCTGTTGAAAAATACATGTATAAAACACGAATCTGAAAGATGTTAGATTATCATCATTCAGAATACCTTCAAGCTCCTTTGAAATAGGCTCCTTACAGAACAGAAAGCTTGCAGGGAAGCCACACTGGCTGCCCCCAGTGCACATGACCAGAGGAGCCCCCATGCCCAACCCGCCCTTCTCTGACCAGACGCCCCGCTTCAAGCCTGGAACCAGCCTCTCTCCTCCAGAAGGAGCACATGCTGACCTGCAAGGTGTAGGCATGGCGGCACTTTGCTTTATTCACACTCAGTAATACAAAAGACCACGCTCAGTTCAATCTCACAGTTTCAAAAAATTTAAAAAGTGAAGAGTCACCAAGAGTAAAGTATGAGATCAATTAAAATGTGACGTCTATAAACATCCCATAAGTCAGCGTGAGCAGCCAGGGCACAGCAGGTCCTGAAGGGCCTTACAGACCTGAAAGGCAGGCACCTGGGCCGGGGGGCTTCTACCAGCCTTTGTCTGAGCCGCTGGGGAGTCTCAACCACTGGGGTGAAGGGAGGGGTGGGGGAGGTACCAGGACACAGCAACTACCCACAGGACTGAGTTCACCCCACAGCACCGGGGCCACAGCCATGGCAGGGAGAGGGGCCTCTCAGGTCTGTCACCGCCTTCTGCCGCCTGTGGGACAGGTACACTCCAGGGAAGGGGAGAGCTAGAGACACAGCTACCCTACTCTGTTCCTAACATACTTGCTCCCAAATACCTGCTATTTCTTGTGTTTAAATTTCTTTCTGGTAGTGCTTTTGTACAATTTCTAGGTTAAATTCTCCAGGTATAATTAGCACAGTATTCTCTAGACTTAGGAAATCCAGTGCTTAGTTTTAAAAACAAGCAAGACTATTTCAGTTCCAACAAATAACGATGGGTCATCATCTGAAAGGTACACAAGACCTACTTACAATGCTTTCAGACTTAAAAAAAAATTGTGTCAGTGTGTGAAGAAAAGCAATTGAATCTGGAAACTTCCATAAAAATATGTAGTGGGACTGAGCTCACTGCTACAGTGTGGGAGAAAAAAGGCCAGCAAAAAAATGGTTAATGCTGGCCTTCTGAGGAGGCCGTCCAGTGCAGAGCACAATGGGCGGCCCTGGGAAGCCTATGAAGCCTATAAAGCCTGCAGTGTCTTGGTATCCCGAGCAATGACGGAGCAATGACAGGCACTGTGGCAGGTCAGCCTCGTGCACCAAGTCTCCCCTTCCAGGACCACCGCTCCAGTGTTCTTCGACGGGTGGAACCAAGTCCAGAATCACCAGTACCCAGAGAGTTTCAGCCGTGCCTGCAGCCTCCCATGAGTACATTTGCCAAGGCTGGCTGACAAGCCCTCCAAAGGACCAGAGAAGGGTCTGCTCAGAATCGGCCCGAGCTGGGGTGGCCGGCTGCGGTGCAGGTGAGTCTCAGTCCTGGGTTCCTGGTTCTATGTTGGGGTCAGTGTTGCCATGGAGGCCACCGGGCAGACCTGGCCAGCTGGTCTCACGTAAGGTGCAGCTTATGATGCTTCCAGCTGGATGCAGGTGTGGATACACAGGCCACCCTCTGCTGACAGGGGCACTGAAGTTACATAGCCTCTCCACCACATAAGAACCCAGACTTGGCTCTAACAATCTCAGTGGGACTACAGTAGGGGAGGCTTTGCACAAAAGTTCTTTCTAAATGCATGCCGAAAATAACATCCTGTATTCTATTGTATTTCCTTCAAGCAAGGGGCTGTCTCACGTTAGGACAATGAGATGGCTTGTCTATAGTATCATGCTTCAGTCACTCAATGAAAACGCTCGCGAAAGCCACACGTCTGGGAGGACTAGTCTTCCTACACAAAGATACACACCCAACAGATTTGACAAAATGTGGTTTTAGTTTTCTAGAACTGGACATGCAGTGGAAATGTGAAACAAACAATACCAAACTATTTAATGCTCATCTTTATATATTCATGCTCCACTCTCACAAGGGTACTGTGGCAGCAGTAAATCCACACTAGTTCCTGTCTCTGTTCTAGGCCACTATGAAAATAACAGTGTTGTCAAGGATCAAAAAACTCACATACATGGGAAAGAAGGGGAGGACTCGCTTCAAAACTCTTCCCACAGCCTGTTTTGACAAGCATGGGATGAGGACAAGTGTGTGCGGCCAGCTCCCTCACCTTTAAACCTTCCTCTGAAATCAGTTGAAAACGGCCCTGCATTTCTACATTTAGAGAGCAAAACAAGCACTCGGAGCACTTCTTACAAGAAATTAAAAACAGAGGGGCTTTAAGCATTTCAGATAGTATCTGAGAACAATGACATTTATGTGGTTGAAACTGGTATAATCTACTAAAGATGAACAAAAAAATGTAAAATAACTAATAAACTTATCAACCTCAGCTAAGCAAAGCTTACGGAATACTTTTTAAGTAATAACTGACCCCAAGGCTGTGATTTAAGGCCGTTTTTCTGCTTTTCTTTCTTTTTTTTTTAAGCAGTAGTTCAATAAATGTCTAGTCTGCTTTGGCAACAGTTCAAAAATGACTCCTAATGATCTCACAGGGTAAAACAAGAGCTCTCAAAAGAAAAACAATTCAAGTCCATTTAAATGTGCCAGTTCAGCTTCTTTGGGGTTTCTCATTCTCTGTGTCAGGCCCCCACCATCGATGCCAAGAGCACCCCTCCCCAGTGGTGATGGCCCAAACACCACAGCTGCTGCCCGCGTGTGAAGACTGCGGATAAGCCAGGTTGTTATGGATGGCCCCGTACGCAAACCTGTCAGCAGCAAAGGTCTAAAGGACTTTGCTTAGGTTTTATTTTTTTGTTTTACCCAGCTTCTAGATTACAAACAACATTACAAAAACATATTCAATTTTATAACAATTTATGAAAACACCAGATAAATATTATTTCCTAAAGCAAGTACCATTTTTATCACCTTTTCTTTCATTTCGTATCATGAAAAAAGCCTTATTTGGGGCACCCAAGCTTAGGTTAGCAAAAACAAAACAAAAACAAAAACAAAACCACAAAAAACCCTACAAAACCCTAGATTTCCTTTATCAATTTTATTGTAAGAGACTCTACTCCAGTTTCCACAAAGCATTCTGGGCCCATGATCTTCAGAGAAGCTGGGTTTTTCCCTTCATCTTAGTTCTCTTTCCAACAGCTGCTGAAATAAATTTTATTTCCTCTGCTGGCAAATAGTACTTTTCCTGAGATTTCCATACCCAACAGCCACGTTACTTCATAAGCATGCTATTCAACTATTTTAAAACACAGGCGTCCACCACGCATTAGGATGACTCACCGTCCGGGCTCCAGTCAGACCAAGCAGCCCCGGAGCCCTGCAGACAGAAAACTGGGCATTTTCTACTCTGAACTCTTTTCCCTCAGTTCAGCGACAACCATCTCCTCATGATGCTAGGATCTCAAGTCCCAACCTGTCCTTTGCATTCACGAGCCTGCTGTAACCCTGTGGCCACCCGCCATACCGACTGTCCTCATCAGAAGGCCTTAAAGACTTACTCATCTTCTGTATGCTTCCCTCAGGTGCGCAGGTAGTGAGGGCCAGCCAGTGGGCACTGGACATTGCAGCCAACACTGTGGTGGATGTCACAGCCTACGCCCAGTCAAGGTACCACCTGCAGCCCGGACATGGATGACCTTCCCCATCTTCTGAGCTTTCTGCAGAGCAAACCCACACTGCTACCAATGATGCTTGTGATGAGTTCCCATCTTACTAACGTCTGGCTCACTTCAAAGAGCACAGTTTTACTTTCTAGAGGTGGTTTTATTGTGGAAGTCAGACTTCCATGAGCTGTGTGGCAAATCCTGAAAGCTGTGCACCTGGGGCTATGGATGTGACGTCCCCAGTGCCTGTCTTTGGCATGGAGACGCGCCCAGGCGCCTCCAACAGCACCTCCCCAGAGCTCAACTTGTCCCACATGCTCACTGGTACCATCCTGGCAAACCAGACAGGCGAGCTCTCTGAGCACCAGCAGTACGTGATTGGGCTTTTCCTCTCCTGCCTCTATACCATCTTCCTCTTCCCCATCGGCTTCGTGGGGAACATCCTAATACTGGTAGTGAACATCAGCTTCCGGGAAAAGATGACAATCCCAGACCTGTACTTCATCAACCTGGCAGCAGCCGACCTCATCCTGGTGGCCGACTCCCTAATTGAGGTGTTTAACTTGGACGAGCAGTACTACGACATCACCGTGCTATGCACCTTCATGTCCCTCTTCCTGCAGATCAACATGTACAGCAGCATTTTCTTCCTCACATGGATGAGCTTTGATCGCTACATCGCCCTGGCCAAGGCCATGCGTTCCAGCCTGTTCCGCACCAAGCATCATGCCAGGCTGAGCTGTGGCCTCATCTGGATGGCTTCTGTCTCTGCCACGCTGGTGCCCTTCACTGCGGTACACCTGCAGCACACGGAGGAGGTCTGCTTCTGCTTTGCAGATGTCAAGGAGATCCAGTGGCTCGAGGTTACCCTGGGTTTCATCATCCCCTTCGCCATCATTGGCCTGTGTTACTCCCTTATCGTCCGGGTCCTCATCAAGGCTCACAAGCACCGAGGCTTGCGCCCCAGGAGGCAGAAAGCCCTCCGCATGATCTTTGCGGTTGTCCTTGTCTTCTTCATCTGCTGGTTGCCGGAGAATGTCTTCATCAGTGTTCACCTCCTGCAGCGCACGCAGCCAGGAGACGCTCCCTGCAAACAGTCTTTCCGCCATGCCTACCCCCTCACTGGCCACATTGTCAACCTGGCGGCTTTCTCCAACAGCTGCCTGAACCCTCTCATCTACAGCTTTCTGGGGGAGACCTTTAGGGACAAACTGAGACTGTACATTGAGCAGAAAACCAACATGTCAGCTCTGAACCGCTTTTGTCATGCTGCCCTGAAGGCAGTCATTCCAGACAGTACTGAACAGTCAGATGTGAGGTTCAGTAGTGCAGTGTAGAGGTGGCCGAGCTGTACTGGCATAGACCAAGCTCTGTGTCACTCCCAAGGCAAGGCAGGAGGACTGGCCGGTCCACACTATGCTCTGAGCCTGGTCAGAACATGCCAGACTGCCCACGCCCCAGCTGCAGACACACCTGGGATCTAAGGAGCCCTTGCTGCAAGCAACCTTGACTTTGGGCCTTGCACAAAGTCCTGGAGCTCCCCACCCACACTCATGGCTGCGGGGCATGGGGGAACCAGCGTGAGCTTACACTCCACTCTGCACACACCATCCCACAGCAAAGGACATTTCTCATGTTGGCCAATGAAAGCAAAATGAAGGGGACATTTTAGAGGAAAGATCTTAGTTTTAAGGTCGATCTGCCATAAATCTGCCATCCTCGGAAAAAATGAAGTCTGGAGACAACACACTCAGCAGATCTGACCTGGTTACTGTGATCCATTCTCCACATCTGTGGGTTATGGTTTACTGTGCGTACTAACAAGTACACTCAAGTTAGGAAAGGGAAAGCATTTCTCCCACCCACACCCTTCAGAGTGGCCCCTCGCCCTCCATGGCTGCGTGACCCTGAGCACTTGGGCTGCTTTAGCCAGAAGGCTCTTCTCCCACCAGATGCATCTCTGCACCTATGCCATGAGGGAATGATACCACAGGAGTATAGGCTGGGGAACCAGCATGTGTGATACAAAGTTGGCCTCTGAGATTAACAATGGGGACGAAGATGATGACAATGTAAACAGTTCTCCTTAAAATGTATAAATGAAAAACTAACAATTGCTAGGAATGTCCAGCCTTTCTTAATAAAGCATAGTCACATCCTGATTCTCAATTCTGAGTTGTCTGCTATGGGTGGTGGGGCAGCTGGGCAAGGGTCTCCAAGCCTCAGCAGCAGAACTGGTCTTTTCTCACAAGGAAAACCCACACCCCTGGTACCACCAGGCTCACCATCCAGCCAGAGCTCCCTCACAGGGCCAATATCTAAATCCAGTCACCCACATACACCTGGCATCTCCAAGATGTCTGACATTCTGCTGCACAAGCTCTGGGTGCCAACACAAGCAATACCGTAAGTGCACCACACGCTCTGGCTCTTCTATCAGCTCTGCACTATCTGCAGAAGCAGAGTGCTTATGAGGCAGTTGGGGGGCAGAGGTGGTCCCTGTCCTCCAATGTGGTCTGAGGTGGGATCAAAGTGAACCCCATTCCCCCTGCCCCATATACTCCACTCAGGGGCCCACCTCCCCAGAAGATTCTCAAGGATCTTCACACAGGCAAGGCTTCCCAAGGGAGAAGAGAAATGATGTTTAGGTGATACGGAAATGAGCCATTTGTATTTTTTTTTTATTTTAAATTTTTATTTATTTATGATAGTCACACAGAGAGAGAGAGAGAGGCAGAGACACAGGCAGAGGGAGAAGCAGGCTCCATTCACCGGGAGCCCGACGTGGGATTCAATCCCGGGTCTCCAGGATCGCGCCCTGGGCCAAAGGCAGGCGCCAAACCGCTGCGCCACCCAGGGATCCCAGTTTGTTTTTTTTTTTTAAGATTTTATTTATTCATGAGAGACAGGGAGGCGGGCAGAGACACAGGCAGAGGAAGAAGTAGGCCCTCCACAGGAGCCTGATGTGGGACTCGATCCCAGACCCCGGAATCACGCCCTGAGTCAAAGGCAGACTACTCAACTGCTGAGCCATGCAGGTGTCCTGCCATTTGTAGTTTCAATGGTTTTTCAGGTGCAAATCTCTAAGAAAGAGGTCTGTCACAAGTAAATATTGGCACTAACCCACTGTGACCTTACAGAAATGCCATCTCCAACATGCAAGTTCCACTTCAGATTCACTTTCTAAATAAACATCCCAACTGCAGGACCGGAAAACCAATGACTGCTGAGGATGGTTCCCATGCACTAGCAGGTCTGCTGTGTGGGAACATCACTACAGGGTGAGTAGTGATGTGATGTTCCATGAGCTCGCCCGAGGTACTGTCATAGGACACCCACCCTGCAGGTGAGGTGAGGGAAAGTGGGTGGTTTAGATCCAGTGCAACTTCCAAGGAAGAGTCCTCCCTCTACCCTCTGTCTCTCCAGAACCTCCAAAAGTCACAAGTCTATGAATGGTGCAGACACTGTGCTGACACACCTCATCTTATAAAAGCTGAGAGAGGTTCTAAGATGCTTTCTCTCATACATGCTCCGAGCCCCCCCACACCTCCCTGAAACAGCTTCTCAGGACAGGCTCTGCCCCAGCCCAGGACTCGGTCAAAGATGCCACACCCAAGTACCTAGCCTGCAAACCCTGTTCCTTACCAAGTCCCCTTTGACCTCAGTGCTGACAACTCCAAGTTGCAGATCAGATGCACCAATTGGCACCCCAGCCTCGAGTGTCTGACTATATGCAAGGGTTCATCAAATATGTGTACCGTTCCCAGTGTGAAAAGCAGAAGCAGGGAAGCATGTGAAGACTGCACAGAGCCTGGAGACCCAGGCTGTTCAGCTGTAGCTCTTGAGGAAAAGTGGAGAGACAGTCCATCAGGGAATCTGGCCTACTCTCTGATCCTTCCAATAAACCCATGAGATGCGCACTGTCCTGTTACTCAGAGTCCTGAACCACTTGAAATCTTAAATGGTTAGTGATGTAGGCAGGAACTGACCCACAGCCCATGTCTCCAAAGCCCACATTCCTTCCTCTACAGCACTCAGGAATCAAGAGGTCAACCAGGGTCACAGGCTCGATCCCTTTCCAAAGGTGCACCAGACACGATGTTCTGGGCAGGAAGGAGAGGAATGAAGAGCCCCTCCAAAGATGTCCGGGCAGGAACTGTGTCTAACCAAAGCCCCAAAGCACTGGTCAAGGGCATGGACCTCCTATCCACAGGCAGCCCTCCAAGAGGGCTTGAAAAGGTCAGCCCTGTGTTCATTAGCCATCTCCTGCTCCTGAATGGCCTTACCACCAGGCCTTTTACAGCTGGTGCTTGCCCGAGGCACCGTCCAATGAGGCCGGACATAGTTCATTACCTTGAACCTCTGAAACCCCATCTCCTGATGTGTAAACCAGCAGCAGAACTGCTCCAAGTGTCCACTGGATGGTTGCTAGAAGGGCAAGTACAAGGTAGAGGTCCTGACTTGACAAAAAGGATTTCTTACTGAGCCTGAGACCCCAGAGCCCATGTCTGAGAGATGGATGGAGCCAGTGTGCACAAGCTGCCCGGCCGATTCAAATGCAGACCCTTCTCAGCATTTGCCTGCGAGCAGAGGCTGATTTAATTATTTTGTCAGGAAAGCCACAAGATAAAATCAAGGCACTTGGTTGCCTTGCTGTTTCCTGGTAACCTGGTTCTCCTGGGCACTGATGCTCTGTAACCCCACCAAGAGCTCAAAAGTAGAGCTGTAAGCACACAGAAACCACTGGTGCTAGCACCGAATGTGACTTCATAATTTTCTTTGTGCTTAATAATTAACTCTTGATTATGAGGGTGGCACTTCCCAGACCCCACATCCTCCTTGGAGGGGTGGAGGCCTTCAGGTCATTACAGCCTCAATGATATGCATCCCCTCGTCTTTGCAGGTGGTATGAGTGAAGCAGTCCTGAAATTTTTACATGCATTTTGAATCAGCATCCATCAATGAACCCAGACTTGTACTCAACTGGATGGTGGGAGATGCAATAAGAAAGGGAGGAGGCAAGCAGGGAAGGCCCCAGGGCTGATGGAACTGAGGGTGTCCAGTGAACCCTGAGATCTCTAAACTGAAAATACATGCAGGACAGCGCATAGGCCGTGTATGTGCATGTGCACACATGTGATCATTTGTTCCCTGGCTCCATCTGCTAAAAGGGGGAGTAGGGGCCTGAGTGGCTGTGGGCCCATTGGTGCCCAGACCAACCCCCTGAGAAGCAGGCTCCTCAGAGCAATAGCCAATGCAGGTAGGGCAGGAGTACAAGGTGAGCCCTGGCACATGGTGTTCCACCAGAAGGAAGAAGAACTTCAAGAGAATGACAGGGTCACATGAGAAGGATAAGGGGCCTACCCAAAATCTGGGGCTCTTTGAGCATGAAGACAGTAACAGACTGCTGAAAGGTAAGAATCCATGCATCCATTCTGGTCTACAGACAAGTAAACACAACAGAGATAAAACAAACAGTGCAATAAACAAGCACAGTGTAGTCACACACAAGAGAGGGTTGAGTGAGCTTTGCATACCTGAGAGTGGAGGCCACCAGTGGAGATGCCAGCGAAGCCTGGCTAAACCCAGCATGTCTGCAGGAGCAGGACATCGTGTGTCCACACTTGGTCTGCTTTCATGTGAGAGAGACAGGCACCGTATCACAGAGATGGGACAGCCCTAAACTGAGTGCCAATGAAGAGCCCACCACGTCCGCATCTAGAGTAGTGACCTCAACCCAGTCAGAAAGAAGTATTAGAAAATCCAAAATGGAGACAGGGTCACGATCCAAAATGTAATGTCACAGAGACAAAGAAAACCAGAGGGACTGTCCCACATTAACAGAGGGCCAAGCGATAAAGCAACTAAATGCAGCATGTGCCACTCAGCAGAACATTTTGCTAGAAGAAAATGCTGCAGGGGTATTTTTTTGGGCCCCGGGACAGGAGGAATATCACCTGCTGCTGAGAACTGCCCCATGGTCTGTGAGATAATGCTCTTCTTCTGAAGAAGCACATATTTCAGTATTTATGGTTGGGGGACGTCCAAAGGTGCAGCCTGTGGACAAGCATGCACACAAACGTCAAAGCAAATAGGACAAAATGTGTGGAATGTCTATCCCCCTACCTGAATGTCAACCCAGATTGAAACAGGTGTTCAAACAAAAACTCATACATCAATATTCACAGCAGCAGCATCTACACTAGCCAATGGGTAAAAACAACTCAATGGTCTAATCATCGACCGATGGGGTTTCGTCACCATACAGGAGGGATGAAGCATGGACACCTGCTAAGGCCTGAAACTCAGAGAAAGAAGTGAGACATTCCTTACTGCACCTCCTCTTATCCATGTCTGCACCAGGCACATTTTCTGTTTGGGACAGAGCCCCTCCTAGGCACTGGGAGCCTCAAGGTGCATGACACCCGTCGCATTCCCATCTCTCTTCTCAGGGCAGGTGAGGTCCCTGTTCCATATCTGCACTGGTGCTCAATGCCTGAGTCAGGGAAGAGAAGCCTGAGCTTCTTCACATGACTCATCAGCAGAGCACCTTGCCAGAGCCCATTACTGAGGCCGAGGCCTGGCTGTGAATAGGTGAGCACTTGGCCTTCCCAGCTTCTGCCAGATGGGGGGGCGGCAGTCATCCAGCCCAGCAATCACCAGAAACTGGAAGGGGAGGAGGGAGGAAGGCAGTGTCACTGATCAAAAACCCACTAGGTCCCAGCCTCTCCCGAGTGCCCTTCTCACACCCCCATCCACCCACAGGACAACCTACAGGGCAGTGTGGCCATCATCAGTCAGCAAGCCCTTGCTAAAGCTAGAAGAACCCCAGATAAGTGGGGTGGCCCTGTCCAGGACAATGGGATAGCTGCACAGGGACCCACGTAGGCGAGACAGACACAGTACCTACTTCCAGGAACACGAGGCAGGCGTGGCACAGCCCTGTCCAAAGCTCCTGCCCTCCCGGATGGATGGTCCCTGAGCCTGCAAGCTCACCATGCGGGCCAGAGAGCACATGCACTGCTGCAAGCTTCACCTCCACACCCAGTTCTCTGTGGGCAGAAAAGTGCTGGCAGCTGTGAATTAATCTCATTTTTGCCATTGTCCAGTGGGCGGGGGTTCTCATCTGGGAACAAAGGTTTTAAAAGCCAAAGGAACACAAAACAAAAGTGCACCAAACCTGACTGTAATTCTAGGCCTTTATCCCAGGGTGGAATCAATCTAAAACTTATCACAAGAAATCAGTGTAGGGAGTCCTGGAAAGATGCCAGTTGTTATCAGAAAAAGCAACATCACCTAGTCTCTCCCAGGGGGCTGGTTCTGCTGAATGCAGGCATCAACTGATAG